CTTGCTAAGCAACAAGCCAGGTTGATAGGCCTCCGAATAGAAGGTAAGCTTGAGCCTAGTGACCGGTTGATCGATCGTGTCGTCTCGATGTATGAAGAGAACCGCTTGTCGTATATCGAGCTTTCAAAGTGTACCCACAAAGAGCAGGAGGTCCTGGTTGCAGGATCCAAAGAAGACCGACAGCTCAGCATCGATGCAACAGGAAACGTGAAGATCAAGGATAAAGAGCTAAAACTTGAAGCCGACTTGAGCTCAGACTTGCTTGTTCGACAGGCTATGCAGCGTCGGGGCCTTGCTTTTGACCAGGGTAACATTTTGTCGTACCTCATGCATGATCGTTGGATTGAGAAAGTTTTCGACGCAAGACTTGAGAACCCGCCAGATGGTTATGGCCGAATCACACATCAGCAAGTAATCAATGCAGATCGCAGACTGTTCGTTAAGCTTGCGGAAGCCACTCGCTCAGGAATCCAGCTCACTGCAGGTGGGAGGCCGGTTGAACTCGCGTTTGAAGCCGCCATGAACCATCCTGATGTCCTTCATTTGTTGCAGCCCATGCCAGTGGCCAGTTCTGTAACTCCAAAGCGCGATCCTGACTTGCCTCAGGATGAGTCCAAGCGCCGGCGCACCGAACATCCAGGAGGTGCCAAAGGTAAGGGCAAGGGATCGTTGAAAGTCCGCACGCCGCAAGGACTTGAGAAGGGCACTCCTGGTACAACGCATGGACACCCGATCTGTTTTGACTTCAACTTGAACAAATGTCGTTTGCCGGTCTCCCGTGGACGATGCGCGAAAGGCTTGCATGTGTGTTGTGTAAAGGGCTGCTACAAACCAGGGCATCATTACCAGAACTGCCCAAAACAGTCCACGGCTTGACGCCAGGCCGGGGGCTGCTCACTCCCTAAGGGATCATGCAGCCCGAGCTCACCGGTCATGAAGAATTCCTCTGAACCGGTAGCGATGGAGACCGTTGACCCATCCTTGCCATTGATCATTGAGCTGTGTGCCGGATCGGCCATGTTGAGTTCATGCTTCCAAGAAGCGAACTTTGATATTTTACCAGTTGACCACAAACATAATCGATTCACGCCTCTTGTGCCTATTTGCGAGCTTGACTTGTCCAAGGACTGTTCATGGACTTTCTTGCATGACGTGTTGGACCAATTTCATGTCGTCTTTGTGCATTGCGCTCTGCCCTGCGGTACCTGTTCCCGCGCCAGAGAAATTGACCTCGCCGGCCATCATCCACACCCATTGCGAAGCCAGGCTTCCCCGCTGGGCTTGCCAGGCCTTCAAGCCAGAGATCAGGCCCGCGTTGACGCTGCCAATGGCGTCTACTCTAGGACGGCTCAATTCTTGCTCCACTGTACGCAGCATGGCGTTTACTGGGCCATTGAAAACCCACGACGCAGTCTCCTGTGGGAGATTCCCTGCATCGTTGACCTGTCACTTGTTGGGACCTTTGTTGACTTTGATGCCTGTGCTTGGGGTTCTCAGCGATTTGTCCAGCGAACCTTCCTCTCCACGCTGCCTCATATCTCGCAATTGGCCGCCACCTGTCCTGGCAATCATCGCCACTTGCCAGTTGGGCGTAAGCGCAACGCCGATGGCTCGAGGCGTTACGCCACCAGTGCGGAGGCTGCTTATCCGCGTGAATTGTGCTTGAAAATTGTTGACATAGTCCGACAAAGTGTCCAACCTTCGACGTTCCTTTCCAGTTCCAGTCCCACGCATGCAGACTGCCCTCGCATGTCTCTGCCGGTAAATGTGAAAGGGACCATCGCCATGCAAAAGCAACCTCGAGGCCGAGCCGTTCCTCCTTTGGTGTCGGAATACAAATACCTCTCAACTGTGGCGCTTGCCGAAGCTCCACCATTGGATACTAAACGACGCTTGACCCAGCCTTTCCAGCACTTGCCCGTAGGGGCTAAACTTCTTACCCCCATCGCGAATTTGGGGAAGACGAAGAAAGCGATAGGTGACGAGAACGTGGGCAACCAGGTGTGCCAGCATACTTTTGGCGTGTTTCGTGACCCTGTTGAGTTTGTCCATGAGTCCAAGTTGGTGAGCCACCCCTTTGACATGTTCCATGCTTTGCCAGACAGCATGCTGAAGGTATTATTCCGTAATTTGACCATGCAAATTGGAGACATTGCCCTTAGGAGAGCCAGGACACTTAGGGAGTGGTCCGCATTTGCCAAGGATAATGCAAATCTCGAGCGTCAGCTACATGCCAGCATGGAGCCGGGCATTGCAGCTGTGCTGAAAGGAAAACGGATCCTTCTCACGAAACACATCGCCAAACACATATCATAGCCTGACATGAGTGTTTTTGACGAGATGGTTGAAGGTTTTGGCTTGGTAGGCTCTCAGCCGGCCTCTGGACTTTTCGCCACTGAGTTTCGCCCGGCGTCCATTTCCAAGGAGGAGCTGAAGAGTTGTGCTAAGTTCGTTAGGCCTGCCCTCCTTGGAAAGGTTAGATCGTCCGAGGTTAGTGATGACCTTAGGAAGCTCTATGACATGACTTGTGAAGAGGCTACCAACAAACATTGGATGAATGGCCCATTATCTGTTAGTGATGTCCACGGTATGCACGGTGACCAGTGGGTCCCCGTTCGTAGGTTTGGAGTTTGGCAGACCTCTGGAGAGTCCACTAAACTTAGACCAATTGATGATTACGCTGAGAACCGTGTCAACTCTGCATTTGCATATCTCGATAAGTTAGACCTTAGGGCCCTCGACCAGATGGTGTGGGCTTGCGTTGCAATTTCCCGCTGCTGCGTGGCCAAAGGTGAAGCGCACTTTGTCTTGAGTGACGGCACGGAGCTCAGGGGACCGGTGAGTCGATCTCTTCTCGTAAACGACGGTTGGAAACCTGTGTTGACTGTCGTCGACCTTGCATCGGCCTACAAACAGTTGGCCATCCATCCGGACTGCAGGAAGTTGTCCATAATTGCCATCAAAGACCCCAACACTCAGGATGTTCATTGCTTTGAAGGCAGGGTCTTGCCATTCGGGGCCACGGCCAGTGTAGTGCACTTCAACAGGGTTGCAAGGTTCATCCAAGCCGTTGGGCTGCATCTTGACGTCATCATGAGTAATTACTTTGATGATTACCCGGTCGTGTCGCCAGTCGCGCTCTCTAAGTCGAGCATGGCGAGTGTGATGAGCATGCTTGACTTGTTGGGCTTCGCATATAGTAAAGACAAGCTGAAAGACTTCTCTGAACAGGTGCAAGTCCTTGGTGTTGTAGCTGACGTCGCGCAGGTGAACACTTTGGGAGTCAGGGTGTCCAATAAGCCTTCACGGATCAAGGAAGTTTCTGGTATGATTCAGGCCGTAATAGGCAATGGCAAGCCTTCCTTCACAGAGAGCAGTAAGTTGCTTGGCCGAATTCAATATGCAGACAGCCAGATCATGGGTAGGACTGGTAGGCTTGCGATGTGTGCCATCCGCGAGTCGGTGAAGCGACATGAAAACATGTCCACGTTGTCCAGTGAGGCCCTGCAGTCTTTCCGCGTCCTCCTCGATAGGCTTAGCAACGGAGTGCCTAGGATCGTTCCTTGCAATGACTGCCTGCCGCCAGTTCTAGTGTTCACTGACGGGGCTAGTGAGGGTGACCTTCACACTGTGGGAGGCGTTCTGTTCGACCCCGAACTTGACAGGCCTGAGTTCTTCAGTGGGGTGCTGCCCCAAGCACTCGTAGAGGATTGGCAGGAATCCATGAAGCACGTGATAGGACCAGTTGAACTTTATGCGGTTGTGCTTGCGCGCTCCGTGTGGAGCACGGCCCTGTCTCAGAGGCGGTGTGTGTTCTTTATAGACAACTCGTCGGCGATGGACGCTTGCATAAAGGGCACCTCCCCGAGCCCTGCCTTTCGTAAGCTTCTTCTCGAG